TTTTACGACAACTGTCTTGTTGACGGCGTCTTTTATTCGTTCCACTGGGGTTTAGCGGGTGTGTTTATAAAGAGACGAAAATTGTTTGGGGACTATCCCCCACGTTCTAGTTGAGATGGTATAACCCAAGAGGCAAAATGACGCTTGCTACTGTTGTTGCGAGTTGCCATTCGTTCTACTAAACCATTAGTCAAACGCCATCATGCCTTCTGTCGTTATTACACAAACAAAAATCTCTTTACTGTTACTAGGTGTTAGTGCCTCAATATGGCTACGCTCGTGAAAGCAATACAGCAAACTCAAACGCGTCTTCGTCCAATGTTGTCAACTAATATCCGGATTAATTTTATTTTCCTCAATTCTCCGGAGAAATTTTCATAAAAATTTGAAAAACCCGGAATTCCGGGAAAATCCGGAGGACTTTCATCTCTGACTTTCAAAAAAGGTTGGTGACCCGTGCAATCGAGCGAAAGAACGAAAAGTGGTCAAACCTGCTCTGGTCGAGCCAACTCTGAACTTGTCGAAAACAGAGTCGTTGTCCTCATTTGCTCCGAAGAAATCATCCTCGAAATCTGCCGTCCTCATGCACAACATTTTCACACGATTCATTACAACACTATACACTCTCACAACTTTTTTAACTCTGCTGGGTGACGAAACGCGTCTCTTTGTTAAGCGGTTAGGAAGCTAGGCTAAGTAAGCTAAACGTCCAAACAAAAGTTTGAGCGAATTATTTTATAGTCCAGCAAGAAATAATGGACATACCGCATCGAGGCTTCGGTGCGTTCAGTTGTAATTATGAAGAGGGAATGAGATTTTCACGGTTGCATTTTTATAATGGATAAAGTGCGTGTAGGTAGTTTATTCTGCGGATATTCAGGCTGCTCAACGACATACGGCAACTCCTTTCGGACAAACTTCATTGCAAGACAAACCTACACGATTACACGCATACGCACGCGCACGTTGAAAGAGCCTGGAATGTAGTTATTGCTTCATTTTGTGTGTGTGTGTGTGTGTGTGTGTGTGTGTGTGTGTGTGTGTGTGTGTGTGTGTGTGTGCGCGCGCGCAGTTTAATAATGGTGATTCGCGCTTGACATAAATCAGAATCAGAAAAAGTTTGTACTTGCATTTGCCGTAGATTATAATAATTTTTTTCCCCACTGTTTTGTCTATCAACTTAATGTTTTACTGTTTATTGTTCTATGGATGATGTTTGCTCCATGTTCAGCACTTTGTATACAGCGGTGGTTGTTTTAAAGTGCTTTATAAATACAGTTGAGTTGAGTTGATTTTTCGCCGAAACTTTCTCGACACACCCGCTTCCACGCGCAGCACTGCATTTCCGCCGTGACAAGGGTCTTACCCCACCACTTCTGACGACAAGGGCGTGTTCACGCCGGAATGGTCCGGTTCAGTGTGCGGAGCCCTCAGGGCGCGGTTGAACAGCACTGTTCACTAAACATCGCACACGCTCCATTGGCTTCAGCCAAGAGCACATCGATTGCTATGCGGTCCCGGAACACCATCAGAGGGGTGACTGTCAATTGTTTGGCTTCTGATAGCAAACAACCATCTCTAGGGTTTACAGAGAATGGTCCGAAAAAGAAAAAATATCCAGTGAGCGGCAGTTCTGTGGGCGGAAATGCCTTGTTGATGCCAGAAGTCAGAGGAGAATGGCCAGACTGGTTCGAGCTGATAGAAAGGCAACAGTGACTCAAATAACCACCCGTTACAACCGAGGTAGGCAGAAGAGCATCTCTGAACGCACAGTACGTCGAACTTTGAGGCAGATGGGCTAGAGCAGCAGAAGACCACGCCGGGTGCCACTCCTTTCAGCTAAGAACAGGAAACTGAGGCTACAATTTGCACAAGCTCATCGAAATTGGACAATAGAAGATTGGAAAAACGTTGCCTGGTCTGATAAGTATCGATTTCTGCTGCGACATTCGGATGGTAGGGTCAGAATTTGGCGTCAACAACATGAAAGCATGGATCCATCATTCCTTGGATCAACGGTTCAGGCTGGTGGTGGTGGTGTAATG